GATGGGCAATCTCAAATTGACCATCACTTAAGTATAGAGCAAATATCTTAACTGTTAAATATATCTGTGTTATGGAAGAAATAGCAAACCCATATAAGCACTGAAGATTTTGTTGTGCTAAACCGCCAGGGCCCAAACTTGGGTGTAGTCCATGCTTGACTTTTGGAATAGAAAGGCGTTTAAGATGGGCAATCTCAAATTATCCCTTAAGTTTTTTAGATTTGTTTGTGTTTTTTTTTTTTTTTTTTTTTTTTTTGCTTCAAGTTGTGTCTGTGGAAAACACAGTCCTTGAAGTCCTTACGCAGACTAAGTAAGATTTTACTGACCTGTCCTTTTGCATTTGGAGTCTTGCTTGTGCTAAGAATTGCTGAATTCCTGTCCTCGTGCATCTGTCACAAAACCAGTCTTGCAGAGCGCTCCCTGAACACTGCGATTTGCATTACAATGTTTTGTGCAGTTAAGGAAAAAAGAAGCAAAAGGCAGCATGCAATTGACTGTAGCAAATGTGCTGCTTTGGGGACACTCTTAACGGCAGCTTGTCATTCTGTGTTGCAGTCCTGAGCAGTGGGACCAATGGTGTAAATATCTCGCCAGATTCTGCAGCCACATCAGAATCACTAAGTAACGCAGCACCGAAAAGTTCTGACTCCGAAGACAAGGTGAGTTTTAAAAGGATTCAAAAGACACTCAGTAGGAAAGATTTTAAAACAAGTATTCTCTCAGTTATTCTCCTAACTGGCCTTATGATGATTTTTGTTAAAGGCTCTGGCAAATTCAGCAATTAAACTGTCTCATAAGATGTTCTTCACAAATAAGTGAATATTGTGTCAAATATCTAGAATTAATTAGAATTACTCTAAAGGAGGAAACCTAGTTGCTTTATTATCTCTTTTGTTTAAAGATATCGGTCTTAATTATTTAGACTAAAGTTTTTGTTTTTTCCTTTAGGCAAGAGAATGTCAGAAAAAAAAATCTAACAACACTTCAGATGATGACAGCTGTGAGAAGGCAGAGCTCAATGCACAGCAAGCATTTGTGTTTGGGCAAAACCTACGAGATAGAGTTAAGGTAAATATTTTTATCGAGAATTGTTGAATTTAGGTTAGAATAGAAATAATGGAACAGATCATAGGTGTTTATGGAGCTGTTTTAAAGAATAATAAAAAGAATACTGATAATTTTATGGTTGGCAGTTAAAACTGATTATTACTAATAAATTTATTTTTATAGCTAGGAGATGAAAGTGATGAAACGGCTGATGTGCAGAATGCAGGCCTGCCAACATCAGACACACCTTCTGCAACAAATTATTTTCTACAATACATCAGTTCAAGGTGAGACAACAGAGAACCTTATAGGACAGCTTTTTTGCTCTATGTACAAGATTATTTATGATTCTCCTTTATTTACAGAAAACACTTGGCAGGTTCCTTCACCAAAACCTTCTGAGAATGACTTGTTTTAGGAATTTTATCAGTAAAGGATATATAGATATTTTTCTGACCAAAACATTGGGGGCTTTTGTTTGTTTTCCTTTCAGTCTAGAGAACTCCACAAACAGTGCAGATGCATCCAGCAACAAATTTGTTTTTGGACAGAACATGAGTGAACGAGTCCTAGTAAGTAATTTTCTCACTATCTTGTGATACAGGTTCATTAATGTGAATTCCCCAGTGACTGCATTTCCAGCCCAACAGTTTGACAGCTACCTCGGGTGTGATTCAGGGAATTCTGTGCTTATTGTGTACCATCCCAAAGTATAACTTGTAGTGTCTTACTGCTTGTGGTCACTGTGTTTTTCTGCTGGTATAAGGGAGAAATTAATACCCTGCAATTCATACCTGTCTACCCACTGAACAGGGAGCTCAGTCAAGTATGTCTTGAGCTGCAGTGTAGCTGAAATTGCTTTGGTTCATTGAACACAGGGTTGAAATTCAGTTTTAGTTCTAGGGAGAAATGATTTATTTTTAGGTCAGGCTGCATTTGGCTCCATGGTTAGGGCAGTAATACAGCTTTTACTGGGGAAGATGTCATTTGTGGCATTTTGTCATTATATGGCTAATAAACACTAGGGGTTTCCTCCAATAATTGCTCAGTAGGCTTTTTTCCATAAAACAGAAGTTAATGTGCGTTCTTTCTTCTGTTTATCTCTTGTTTTGCAAAGAGTCCACCAAAATCAAATGATGGTAGTACAGAAAGTAATAAGGAGAACGCTGCTACAGAGTCTGGGTCTGAATCATCATCTCAGGAAGCCACACCAGAGAAAGGTAAACACCAAATGTGTTCGAACCCGGAACTGTGTGCTGAGTTCTTGACTTCTGTCATTCTTCAAATTCTTCAAATTGGCAGCATATTCTGGAAATTTTGTCAGCTATGAGTTTTCTCCAGCAAATGGCTGTGAGACAGTGGGAAAGTGGAAATTGAATCATGCCTTACACCTGTAGGTACAACTGTGTATCTGGGAGCAGTATCAGCACTGCTTGAACACCTACAGATCCAGATGTGTCCATGTGCTAGCATAGTTGTGTGTAGGAAAAAATACAAGTATGTGAGGATAACATCTTCAGTAAGTTATCTCCTATCCTTTACATCTACCTGTGGTTTTTAAAGCAGGTCTCGAAGACAGACAGACTGCTTTAAACTTCAAATCTACTTCTAATCTTTTATTCCTGTGTGTTTTCGGTGCTGTATTTCTCTAAATCTTGGTATACTTGAGACCTTTATAAATCTTCACTAATTATGCAATTTGTTCTCAAAATAAACTTTCAAAATGTTGTTCAGCTAATAATATTTCAGAATCGCTGGCAGAGTCTGCAGCAGCCTATACTAAAGCAACAGCAAGGAAATGTTTACTGGCAAAAGTAGAAGTGATTACTGGGGAGGAAGCTGAAAGTAACGTGTTGCAGGTAAGAGACTGGAGGAGCAGAGAGAAATTTTACATTCGTGAGATTCGTATTGTCATCCAGCAGATGAGTGCTGCCTGATTCTCTACAACTGGGCCATTCTCTAATATCTATATGCTGCTTTCTCCGGTTAAAATGTAAACTGTGGATATTTATGCTCAGGTGCTTGTTTTGTTGCTTCTTAATTTCCTCTTTCTGAATAAAATTCACAGCTTGGAGAATTTAGACAACCGTTTTACAAGTCTTCCATGTGTTTTCCTCGAGCAATCACATAAAAGCTTCTATCTTCTGCAGAACAACTCATTATTTAAATAAAAGTATTTTATTCAGTTTACTTAAATATTCTTTAAGTACTTTAATTATTGTGCTATTTCAGATTGTTTTAACTCAGAATGGGCTAACATGGCAAAGCAGTCTGGTTTCTTGCTTAGCAGAAACCATAAAACAGCTCTCAGGAGTTTGTGTCCAGGTACTTGTTGGAATTGGGGATCTTTTAGAAGGATATTCACTTAGAAGGACATCAAAGCTTTCTGATTTCAACAGTGATTTATTTCTCATGACAGTTGTTCTTTAACTCAAATATGTGTGTTAACTTAAACATATCCTTAAAAAAAAGCATGCAGGCTTTTGAAATCTAAGAGGTTTATATGCTTCCCTCTTGCCCTGCATTTATAGATTCTTACTACTGATTCAGTCAACTGTTATTTTTGTTACAGATTCAATGCAAATTGTTTGTTTTTGATAAAAACTCTCAGTCTTGGGTGGAAAGAGGCCGAGGACTTCTGAGACTCAATGACATGGCTTCAACAGACGATGGGACTTTACAGTCTCGACTGGGTAAGAGGAGCCCTGAGGAGGGAGTTCCTGGATGCTCCCTGTTCTCTGGGACTTGGGACATCTTTGAATGATGCCCAGTCATTCCAACTGGCAGGAATTTGCATTAGCCTGAGGCTAGCAGCTCGGATCACTCAACAGTGATTAATGACACTGATCTGTGATAGGAGATTTGGTGCATGTTTACTTGTTCAAATATCTCTAGACATATCCAGTGCTCTTTAGTAGGCTGCAGTCTTGTGATTACCAGTCACGAGAAGACCCCTATTTTAAGAGTTTTTTTCCTTATCTGATATTCCTTATAAAGAGACTTGCAGATATTAAAAAAAAAAAAAAAAAAAAAAGTCATTTTGCCTGCTTTTGAGTTTCCTGTTTTGTTTTTTCCACCTAACTAATCGTCTGTGTTTGCTCTAGTGATGAGGACTCAGGGGAGTCTCAGGTTAATCCTGAACACCAAGCTTTGGGCTCAGATGCAGATCGACAAAGCCAGTGAGAAAAGCATCCGGATCACAGCCATGGATACAGAGGACCAGGGAGTCAAAGTTTTTCTTATATCAGTGAGTATTGGTTTCTTGCTTGCCTCCCAGCAGACAGTAACAGGCCAATTAAACTGATTTCTGTGCCTGCTAATTGGGGAAAGAGCAATCACAATTAGAATTACTAAAGCACTTAAATTGTGATCCAATTTTATCCAGTATGTCATGAAACAGTTGTGTGATTTGATTATGATCAACAGATGTGTGAGGCTGAGTGATGGCAAACCTAGAAAATCTTATGCCAGACAAGTTTTTTAGTGATCTTTAAATTAAAACTTAACCTTTTGGGAGTGTCAGGAAAGGAATGCCTCCTGGATGGCAAGGATTGCATGTAATTCTTTATGTAGGAATATACTCCCATCACAGTTGAATTTAACCAGCATTTCACCAAGTATACCCCAACTAATTCAGATATAGTTTGAAAAACCCCATGTGGGAAAACTGAAAAAAGTGGGATGCAAAATGTTTGTCATGACTGCCTTGTATCACTCAGGACTTGTAGCAAAATAAAAAGATTGCTTACACACTTTTGCTGTTTTTGAAAAATATATGTATATGTATGTATTATATATGTGTATATATAAAACATAGGCAAGCTCTAAAGATACAGGGCAGTTGTATGCTGCATTACACCATCGGATCTTGGCTTTGCGAAGTAGAGTGGAACAAGAGCAAGAGGTCAAGAATGTAGCACCTGAGCCAGAGGTAACACAATCAAACGAGGAAGACAGCGATGATGATGTCATTGCACCCTCAGGATCCGTCGGAAGTGGTAAGCAGGAAAGACACCAAATTTCCTGGTTAGGAAAGGGACATTGGAAGAGTGTAATTGATGTAGTTGTACATGGGGGAACTGTTGTGATTAAAAAGGTCCTAGTCATCAGTTGGAGGAAACTTCTTGCCGTAGTCTTGACTGGAGTCACCTGTGCTCTGGCCTTCCGTGGCTTGGCACGTTCCACCTCTTACTGTGACTACTCCTCCATCTGGACTTACAGCTGGAAAAGAGGGGAATGGGCATGAACAGAAACAGTGGGGGAGCTTGGAGAGACAGTCCAGGTGGAAACAGCAGCAGAGATTTCTCTGAATACTATCAATATCCCCAAACCAGGTTGGTAAAGAACATGATTTTTTCTTTTTGATGGACAGAAACTTAGTTTGGAGATGAAATAAGAGGAAAATCTCGACTTTTCTTGCCTGTCACTGAAATCCTACATCTGAGCTTCCTCAGAATGGGGGTCCCTAGTGTAGGGCCAGCAACAGAGGACAGATACTTCTTATAACAAAGAACTGCTCTCTCTGTTTCAGGTCCTAACGATGAAGGTGATGGGCAGAACGTGGGCAGCACATAGCAGAAGGGAGCCGATCTGCTTGCAAGGCTGCTATGAACATCATCTTGCAGGCAACTCTCTGGATACCCCAGGCCAGCTCTTGTTTCAGGCAGTGTTGAAAGCTCCAGGACTTAAGAACTGTGCATCCCTGTTCTGTTTGTTTGGTTTTTTGGTCTGGATCAATAGATTCCACACACACAAAAAAAAAAAAAAAGAAAAAAAAGAAAAAAGAAAAAAAAAGCAGACTTGGAAACTACCTGAATGTGGTTTGGGACATGAAAGCTCATCATATTGATGAGCCAAAAAAAAAAAATCCAAACATTTCCCCTCTTTCCTGTAATTGAAATGGCACATTACAGCTTGTCACAGCTTTTCATTGGGACCTTTTGACTGTTTCTTCAGTAGTTCATGTCTTGCAGGCCTCCGAGATAGAACTTTCCAGCACGGTTCCAACTTGAATTCTGCTTTCTTATCCCTATTTCCCCTTCCGAGTTTCTCCACCCGCAGGGTAACCTTGTCCTGCTCAATTCCCGTGCTCACTGACTGCCCTCTTGGGTTCGGGCTCTTCTGGACTGCAGACGGGGCAGCTTTTGTTTTTACCTTCTAATCCCACCGTAGGTTGTGGACACTGTTGTTCCCCGTAGAGTGGGTTTGTAAACGGAGAGGAAAAAGACCTTGTGGTTCACCAGGAAGGCTTTTAAATGCGTTAATGGGAGACTCTCAAAGTCCACAGGATGTTTTGCTAACTCCTTTCTTTCTTCCCACTTCCATTATTATTATTTGGGGGTTTATATTGTGGTGAGACTTTTTTATTTTAGTTTTTCAATAAGATGCTCTTGTGTGTTGAAAAAGTGAAACTATTGTTTTGTACTGTTCTTTTCTGTTACTATTTAAGGGAGAGCTAAGCCACTATATATAATAGATGTTGCATACAATTTTTCTTAGAAAATTATATGTTTCTGTGGCTACAGTCAAGTGTAGGAGGCATACAGGTTAAACGGTCAGAAAAGGTGATGAGGAAACAGTTTTTTGCCCTCGGAAGGATAAAGTGGGCTCATGTGATGAGCTGGGGCAGCCATTAAAATAAATCTGTCTAAAAGCAGCTGTCACTTAATGGCTTGATTCAACAAGCTATTTAAGCACTTGCCTGACTCCCATATGTGAATGATCTTCAAGTCAATGCAACTCTTCATGCTTAAAGTCGAGTACCTTTTAAAATATCTTGCTGAATGAATGGCCTTAAACAGAAAATAAATTTTAACCCTTCCTGTCCCTCTTCTGTTTCCTGAAGTCTTGCAGCATGAACAAAAAAGGTAATATTGCCAGCTTGGAATAGTTTGGGCTGAAGGATATTGTATTCTGTTCCACCAAAATAAAAGCAAGAACATGTTTTCCTGTGTGTAATTCTGAAGTACTCCTGCTGTAACCACAATTTACTTTTTGCTCTGGATGTTTTCTAATTACTTGGGCCTTTTGTGTGGAAAGTTGAGTTTTATTTTGTTATTAAAACATATGGTATATTCTTATCCAGCAAAGTTGGAATTTAATAGTCACTTAAGAACAGTGATTAGGTCAATTTCCTATAACCCCCCGCAAGCTGTTCTGTTTCCTTTCTACATAGATTATTGGTAGATAATTTTGACTTGCTTGCTCTTTTTCCGATAGGTTAAAGAGATCAAAAAATCACCATTAAAAGAAAAAGAAAAGAGGAGGAGGAAGGGAGAAGTATTTAATGTAGCATAAGCCGAAAGTGAACCCCCAATTTGCAGCACAAAAGCAACTTTGAAATGACTCAAATGTCAAAACAGCCCTTATTGCCTTTATATTAATGAAAAGATACTTTTTGCTGGGACTCCAGAGAACATTTAATTTTACTTGTCTGTTGCTAATTGTTGTTGGAGACTTCAGATATCAGGGGCTGTTCTTTTTGCATTGTGATAGAGCGGGACTGTCTGCTCATGAATTTTTGCATTTTTTTGTTGTTTCTCCTTAGTTCTAGATTTTTTTCCTCTTTTTAAACCATGCACAACCATTGCACTCTTACGTAACTAACAAAAGGGTAATGTGTTCCCTCACAGCTGTTCTTCTGCATCATACGTTTTGGGGAACTCCAGTCTTTTCAGATACCTGATTTCCATTTTGGATCTTTTTACACCAATAACCAGATTCAAACTTTCCATGTAAAGCTTTTAATTGTCAGCATAAAGATCATTAAAATGAATGAGGTGTCCTGGTCAGCAGGGCCTAACTGTGGAAAAACAGCTGCTATTTCCTGGGCCTCAACTCCAATAATTTGAGGATCTGTCTAGAGTCTCACCTTGAGGCGTTTTACCCAAATGTGAATGAAATTGGGGCATAAAGACTCAGAAGAACAGAATAAGCATGTTTGTTTTGAGGGAGTTTAGTGGTGTCACCTATGGCATTCCTTAAAAATAAAATGTAAAATGAAATTTAAAAAGGCAGCTATTTACTGATAGAAATTTATTTCAGAGGGAAGCCTTGCTTATATTGATATTTTGTATTGTCTAAAACTTTATGGCTTGCAGACCACTACCAGAATTGGCCATAAATTCAAGCCCTGTCCAGCAAGATGTAGGAGTAAAACTCAGACACTTTCTGCTTTAAGCCTCATAAACTAGTGACAAATAAAATCAGATAATGCCCACGTGTTCTGAAGGATCTATGTGAGACTGTCGGATCGAGATGTATTCAGGAATTTCATTAAAATTTTTAACATAAAGAAAAAGGGCCCTTGTTAACAGATGCATTTGGCAATTATTGCTTCTCTTGTTCTTGCTGCTGACTCGTGTGGCTACAAAACTCTTCAAATTTCCCCCCGGCGGGGTAAAAAAAAGACACTAAGACTGAAATGAAGTTGAACGCTTGTGTAGAGGGGGTCTTATGAGAGTGGTGACATTATTAAAACCAAGAAAAGAAACCTCCTATATCCAGTAAATTAAATATACCTGTGGGGAAATAATAAGAAAAAAGTGGGACTTCTTCCCAGTTGGTTCCATTGCCTTGGTATTTCTGGCATTAAATGGATCCCTTTCCGCAGGTGGCCTCGCTCCTCTCCCAGTGAGTGCAGACAATAGTTTATTCCCTTTCTCTGTCTTGACCCATTACATATTTGCAGATCCGTTTCCATCGATCCTCTCTAGTCTGAACAATTCTCATTATGGTATTTGCCATAATTTGTCATGCAAGATTTCATTAAACTGACTTTTCACTGTACTTTTTTCTCCCCTTGTTCTTTGGTCTTTTAGCGCCCTGATGCTTTCTTGGTATGTTTTGAATGGGAGGCTCTATACAGTGTTATATAAAACTTCAAAAAACGTGTTATAAAGTGGCACTTTAATTTTCCAGAGTGCGAATTCCCCACTCCCCTTCTGAAGATCAGAGCAGCAGAGGTACCAAGACAGAATTGCTAAGATGGACTTGCATGTTTAAGGCAAGCTTAATTCCTGACTCTTATGTTTTGGAATAGGTATAGTTTACAAACGAAAGTGACTCAAAGATAACTTTTGTAAATAGAAGTTTTGCATTTAAAGGTTGTACTCAGAGTACCTTTTGACTGCTTTTTTTCAAAGGTTTAATGATATTAAAGATGAATTTTTCTTTGGGGAAACTGCTAATTCTGCTCTTGGGGATGCCTTTTCTAAGGTGTCTGTGACTTGAATGTGGGATATGTTTTAATGAGCTGATGCTGATACAGAGTTTGATAGCGACTTCTAATGAGCTTAACAGCCCTTTCTTAAACATAAAGCCTAGAAAAACAAAGTGGTAATGGTCACTGAAATGTCTTATTTACCATTGTATTGGATGGACCCAGCTGGACCTCTGCTCTGCAGAAGCAGAAGTGCAGAATGAGATCTATAACCCTAGTATTTCTTTCACAGCTCGAATCTTCCAGTATTTACAGAAGAATTGGTAGGAGTTTCGGTCACTGCTGTAGGATTTATTAGTTTTCTGTTCAGACTGCTCCTTTGGTA